CCTAGCCATTTTATTCGCAGTTAAAACATTTCGCCCTTACCTCTACGGTAATAAATTTAAAATTGTCACCGACCACAGACCACTAGTATGGTTATTTAATGTCAAAGACCCAGGCAGTAGAATCATTCGTTGGCGCCTAAAACTCGAAGAATATGACTACGAAATCATTTATAAACAAGGCCGTTTAAACTCCAATGCTGATGCGTTATCTCGCTGTCCCGTTAATGTTATAGACATTAACACCTTAAATAACTCTAGTTATGAAAAATATTTTAAGGATCAATTCTCCAATAAAACTCCTATTTCAAATACAGTAATTATAGAATGCACTGAAGGATTACATTTGTCTAAGTTAAAACATATCGCGTGTCCGGTCTCTTTAGATTTCGATTCATCTATACCTCACTGTGAAGAAATATTATCGCAGTTAGATAAGCCGGAGGAATTGCTGAATTCCGAACGCGAACCTTTTACAATTCAATGTGTTAAAGATAAGAATAAATACTTCTATTTTTTATATACCAAAGTTCACCATTATGAAGAAACCAAATTTAAAGACATCTACAATTTAATGATAAAACTTAGAGATAAAATTTTAGTCGAAAATCCCGATATCACAGATCTCGCCTTGTCAGACTTTTCAGACCCATTTTCTAAGTTAGGTTATATTAAGGTATATAATATGATTGCCTATATTTTCCATAGCACAAATATTAAAATTCATATTTATAAAAATCGGTTAATTTACCCTACTCCCATCGAAATCCCTAAAATTTTAAAAGAGAATCACGATTCACCTATTGCGGGTCACCCAGGATCAAATCGTATGTATAAAAGAATTAAAGCCGCCTACTACTGGAAGGGTATGCGCTCTGATATTGTAGATTACGTTAAGAAATGCCAATTATGCCAAATTAATAAGCCGCTGAGAATGTCCAATAAGGCTCCAATGGAGATAACTTCCACTTCTACTAGACCTTTTGAACGATTAGCTCTCGACATCGTTGGTCCTTTGCCCGACGCAGGTTTCCAAAAATTCAAATTTATCCTTACATTGCAAGACGATTTAACTAAATTTTCAAGCGCTTATCCCCTGGTCACAGCTACCAGTGAAGAAATAGCCAGAAATCTCGTACATTTTATGTCTCTTTTCGGTTTTCCTAAAACGATCTTAACAGATTTGGGTACATGTTTCACGTCCGATTTATTTAAACAACTGACTCAAATTCTAAAAGTTAAAACCTTATTTACCACTCCTTATCACCCACAAACAAATGGAGCCCTAGAACGCTCACATGCTACTTTAAAAGAATACCTAAAATCTTTCGTAAACGAAAACCAGAATGATTGGCATTGTTATCTATTTATCGCAATATTAGCTTATAATACCACTCCACATTGCACCACTAATTTCACCCCTCATGAATTATTATATGGTTATAAACCTAACATTCCAAATTCCCTATATGAAACAAATAATAATACAACCTATAATGAATATATTCGAGCTTTACAATATCGAATGCGTTTTAGTAGAGAAAAGGCCATTCAAAATATAGTTAATAGCAAAGAAAAATCGAAACAATATTATGACGCTAGTTCACGTGAAACTTCTTATAAAATTGGCGACTTAGTGTATATAAAACATCATCACCGGCTCCGTAAGGCTCTATCACCTATATGGAAGGGCCCATATAAAATTATAAAAATAAATAATAAGCATAACGTAACGTTACAAATAGGTCGTAAACATGTTAAGTACCATACAAACGAAATTAAGCCTGCTATTCAAACTCCCTAAATTTAATTAACTTTGTATTTTTTCAGAGCTTTATGCTATGGAAACCAAAGCCACGCTGAATCGAGGATCATACCTATATCACATAGTCCTGGAATTTATTTTGAACCTATTACGCATATTAATTTTTATAACGATTATTGGAAAGTCATAACATATATAGACCTTATATCCTTAGATCCTTATCTCAATAAAATAGAAAATTTATTATATGATACTTTAAACCTTTGTTCCAAAATAAATACTGACGAATTTTCCCCGTGTAAAGATTTCTCTACTCCTATAGAGACTTTAATAAAATATAATTACGTCAAATTGCAATCTCTAGCACATTTAATCAATAATAACCCATCGCCAAACAAAGTCAAAAGATCTTTGGAATTTGGAGGCGAAATTCTTAAATTTTTCTTTGGTACTCTAGACGCAGATGATGCGCGAAAATATGATGCCGCGATAGAATCCTGTCGGAAAAGTGAAACGGAACTATTTAATCTATTCAGAGATAATATTCATATAATTAAATCCACTATAAATAATTTTAATGCCACTATTTATAAATTAAATCAAAACGAATTAAAATTGAATTCCCAAATTAATAAAATGAATGAAATTTTGTCACAAATTACAAAAACCGATAACTTACTACTTCACATTTCTAGGATAAATAATTTACTAAACGTAATTGAAGGCTCCTTACTTGCTATTTCTAACTTACTAGACATAACTATAAATGCTATTTTATTTTCCAAGGTAAATGTTTTGCATCCTAGCGTGATTAGCCCTTTAAGTCTTTATAATGAATTAACTAAGCATATTAATCAATTAAACAAACGTTTAGATTTTCCAATGCAATTGAACATACATAATATTCATTCTTTGATTGACATCTCGAAACTTAGTTCATATTATTATAACAATAAGATTGTTTTCAGTTTGCAAATTCCACTGATAACACCTGATAAATTCACTGTTTATAAAAATATCCCATTACCGACTCCTCACGACGAGTCACATAATATGCAAACTTTTGCACTTATTCAACCTTCTAATTCTTATATTGCTTTAAGTGACGATAGAATACATTATACTATGTTTAATAACTTAGATGATTGTAATTTCATTAATAATAACTACTCTATTTGTGAACTATTAACTATAACGTCTAGTGTAAATAATCCTAATTGTGAATCGAAATTACTAACAGAAGTAATTCTTTCCCTACCTTCTGAGTGTAACGCCAAGTTATTATTTGGCCAAATCAATATTTGGCATAAATTAAAAAATAATAGATGGATCTATGTACAATCTAATGTAAACAAATTAACTATCAAATGTGATGACGACATTACTGATCATTCTATTATTGGCACAGGTATTGTCAAATTAACCGAAAATTGTATTGGTTATTCCAAAACTATTCAATTATTGCCAACAAGTACTTACCAATTTTCGATCAAATCAACAATAGATATAAGCTTTGATATAACGAAAGATGATTGTTGCAAAAAGGACATATTTAATAAAAGTTTACCATATTTAACGCCAATCTCTTTAAGCAAAGTTAACTTGGATTCTTTAAAATATGCAAATCATCAACTGGATAGTTTAGAGTTTGAATTAAATAATCTTCAAAAAGAATCACATTTTATTAAATATGGCTCATACTATTCAACATTTACTTATGTTTTAATTGTACTACTATTTTTATACCTTGCCTATAAATTATTTAAATGCTGCAGAAATCGTCACGATAGCAGTGGATATTGTATACAAATATTTAATCAATGTAATAATAAAAAGTCATCGAAACATAACTCCAAAATTTCAAATTCAATTGAGATGACCGATAAATCGACATCTGAAGAAGATAATATCTCGCTTAAATCTTTACCAAATTGTACTAATTATAAGCCTTATAAAACTGTAGACAAAGTTCATTCTTCCTCTCGAAGAAATCTTAATTTCTAATTTTATTCAATTTTAGTTTTAAAATTTTTGTATTAATACAAATAATCGATTTTATTATCATATAATCTTAATTTCTACTCTGTCACTTTATATTTTGTAATTGCTATTTTAAATACAATCTATGTAATTGTAATTGAAATTACTACCTTGTTTAATACAAGTAAATTCTAATTTTACTATTTCATTCAAAATACTTTTAATTTTAGATTTAAATAATTCATTTTTGTATAATTTTATTCCTTAATTTTAAATTAATTATTTTTGAATTCTACTCTGTCTCTTTTGTATAACTTAGTTAACGAATAATACTATTGTATCTTTATGTAAAATTTAGTTCGAAAGTTTTTACATTGTTATGAGATTGATTTGCAATATTTTACCACAAATTTTAATTTCCTATTTTCATAATTTGTAATGTCTTCCGACCTCTAATCGCTTTTCTATTTCGAATCTTCGCTTTATCTTAATTTAGAAAAAGCTCAGTCAAAAGGGGGGAGCTGTTATATCCTTTTTTACAAGACAACAAAATATTAGTAAGCATTTATTTAATCACACGGTACTTCTCCTTAATATAGCTATAGTCAGCAATTATATTGTTATATTGTTCTTTTGTTGTATTGTTCTTTTGTTATATCCCTTTTTACAAAGCAATAAAATATTAGTAAGCATTCATTGAATCACACGGTACTTTTCCTTAATATAGCTATAGTCAGCAATTATATTGTTATATATTGTTTCTTTCCATTTTTAATGTTCAGTTAGACTCAGAGCCCCGGGTAGATCGGACATAGATTCCGAGACTTATTAGAGTTCGGAAGTCAAGGACTATATTAATTTGGTGTGAACTTTTTTTTTTTTTGCAATAAACCTTTAGGTTTATTTGGTGTTTCTTTTTTTAAAAAGTCAAACGGGATCGGCCTCCTAACAGACCGTTGCCTGCATCGTGTTGTTTCTGAATTGTTTCGCTGTATTTAATTTGTGTTCACTTTTATCGTATTAAATTGAGTCGAAAGGTAATATTGCTCCTGAGAATCAAAAGAATCGTGCAGGAGGCGAAAATTGGACTCAAGAGGAAAAGGTTAGTTACGCTTATGTACTATTCGTTTTAGGAAATTGGTCTAGTTTTTTAAGCCGCATGAGCTAATTAAGAAAATATAATAACACTGCTTGTTTTGTTTGTTACGTTTTTAATTACCTAAATATTTACTACTTTCAGGATCTGTTTTTGGAAATAATGAGGGAGTCAGCGCCTATTATAGAGAGTAAATTTACCGATAGTAACACAAATAAAAGAAAGAATCTGGAGTGGATTAGAGTACAAAAGAGGTTATTGTGTGGTCATACTGATTTGTTTAGTTAGTATAGATGTTGATCAAATAGATGATAAGACTATATTTTTCTGTTACACCAAAATATATTTTTAAGAAGGTTAAATTAATAATAGAATATGTATTCTTTTTTATTGCAGTCTTAAGGAACTCACTGGGAAATCCAGAGAGTTCACCCAGTTAAAGGGTTTCTGGAGACGAACAAAAGTGGCTGCAAAGAAATCTGTGGCACAACATAAAAGAGCTTTGCAAGCTACTGGTGGTGGACAAAGGCCAACATCGCCAGGTGATGATCACCTAAAGATAATGGAACTCTGCCCAACAGATTTTGTTAAAGAAGAAAATCTTTATGACAGCGATGCGGTCCCACAACACGTAAGTTTTTGAATTGTATGTACCAAATATAATGATGCAACTTTGCTTTATTAACTTTTATTAATTTACAGGGTGAAGTTATAGTTCTTGGAGGAACTGAAGAGCAAAACAACACATTGTATGATATAGACGAGGTATGTATGAATATTATTAGTTTTATATTAAATAAGTTATTACTCATTTTTTAAATAAATAAATAAATCTTTTCTTTCCAAAGGATGAAATTCTACCAGCAGAGGAACCAGCTGAACAGCAAATGATTACAGTGGCAAATGTGCATAGCGAAGAGGTGAGTTTACCTGAAAAAAATGTGGTGCTTCATACTGTTATTTTTATAGGATAGAGTGACAAACGAGCACACAGTGCAACCGATGGTAAGTGGTTAATGTGGCCCATAGCCATCTACATCTACCCTTGTATGCGATTCATCAAATGCAGATGCGTTGTCATCCGTGAAGACTAAGATGGAACGCCTCTTTTCTAGCAAAAAGGGTCTCAGGTTCTCTACACTCACCATACAAAACACAGCAGCATTAAGCTACTATTTCACGCTGGTATTCTGTGAGAGTGTGCTCCTTCCCCGGTCGAGCCGACCCATTCGTGCTACGACTATACTATTAATATAACTGCAGCATGGCTCTACCATGTAGTACAAATATGGTTATAATGTTTTTATTATTATTTATAATTATAAATAAAACTTAATGAAAATTATTATTCACTCAGATTGATATCAAGATGCCTGAATGCAGCAAAAAAACACAAATGATGTTTCCTCCAAAGGTGGACAAGAAACAAATTAGAGAAAAGAAAACAAATAAGTTGTAAGTAGATTATTTGTATATAATTTTTATGATCTACTTTACTATATTTTCATGTTTTGTAAGTATCATTTAATAAATAATTCACACTGCCCTGTTGTATCTATGAACAACCATTATTAGGAGAATTATGAGAAAAAAGACATTATTGTATGTATGTATGTATGATGACCTCATATTTTGATTTCAATAATAAAAATAAATAAATATATAAATCATTTCTTTTCTCATAAATACAATACAATACATTACACAAAGAACATTAAAATGGTACTATCTACTTAGTAAATAGGTGCGAAACATCTCGTTGAGCCTAACGGTTTTTAATTAATAAGTAAATCATGTCTGTTACAGGGCTGGCAAGGAAGCTTTATTAAGAAGCAATATAGAATTTAAGGAACGGGCTTCAGCAATGTTGGAAGAAGGACATTAAAAATAAAATTTCAAGAACAAGAAATAGCTCATCAGCAGTTGCGGCATAAACTGGAAATTGAAATATTAATATTAGAAAAAGACAAAAAGAAATTGGAATTAGAATTGTTAAAAAAAACTAGAATATAAGGACTAATTTTACATTATTTTTAAATTTTATTTCTTATATTAAAAATTTTGGTTGATAAAACGCTGTCTAATAATTGCTCCCCTAACTGTAGATCTCTCAGTCTGTGGCCTGCGCCGCTGACGAACATACCGAACTATATCAATGTCTTCATTCATATCAATCGCTATGTTATGTAGCACTGCTAATGCTACAATTGTGGTTTTCGCTGTGCTTAGTTTCATAAACATGGCTCTTAGCGTGAAAGTGATAGTGAAGGTGTAACGCACCTTAAAAAATTAGTACGAGTGCAAAATCAAGCTCTGAGAGTTATTGGTGGATTTTTAAGAAGCACGCCAATCCATGTGATGGAAAATGAGCATTGTATTGAGCCGCTACATATACGAAGGTATTATCTTGCAGGAAAATTCTGGCTGAAAACAAAATCACTTTTAGATAATGAATTAATTATAGTATTAGATAAGTTAGACGAATATTTCGTGACTTATCCATCATGTAAGAAAAAGAAACCTCTGTTGGCAGTCGTACATAATTTTCTTAAAAGCTCTAATATTCATACCTCCACGCAACTTGAAATGTTCTCCTTAGATACCTGGGTTAGCAATGTGGATCTTTCTGGTATTGTACTTTCTCTTATTGAGACTATTGATAAACCTAAACACGACTATAGCAATGTGGTTCTGAGACAAATAAGTTTAAAATTTATTCATGACAAATATTTGCAATCTTATAAAATTTATACCGATGGATCTAAAGATAATAATATTAATATTGGAGCTGCTTTTTATGACCCTCAGTTAAACATATCAATGAAATTTAAAATTAATTCAAACGTTTCTATAATGTATGCTGAACTGATAGCAATTTCAGAAGCTGTATCGTACATTGCATCACTCAATCACAAATATCAGTATGTTATTTTGACAGACTCTAAGAGTGCTCTGCAACACTTGGCTCGTTGTACCTCGAATTTTCGAGGAACACCGATAGCCTACAGTATTTTGAAGTGTATTGATAGTTTAACCAAAAAAAATATAATTGTTGTTTTACAGTGGATCCCTGCTCATATTGGCCTAGTAGGTAATGAAGCGGCGGATAGACTAGCAAAGGAAGCTTCCTCTGACGGTATTTTACTGCATTGTTTACCTTATTTTTCAGACTGTCTATACAAGGTGAAGGAAAGATGTGTCAGTCTGTGGAAGGAATACTTTAATGAGAGATCTCTTACAAAAGCAATATTGTATAAAACTATTCAACCAAATATTTCCACTTCTTCATGGGTAGATAGGGCCAATATGGGCAGGGCCGATATTGTTACAGCTCTAAGACTTCGATCGGGACACATACCAATGAATAGCTTTGCTTTTTTGATGGGAAAGACCGAATCCCCTAACTGTGTAGAATGTGATCAGTTAGAAGATGTATTACATATTTTGGTAGAGTGTGTTCGAATCGAAGCTGAAAGAGCAAATTTTTGCAATAAATATAATATAAATAGATTAGATATCGGATTTTGTAACAGTATTCTGGCCTTGCCATTATCTGGGGAAGCCAGAATGCTGTACAAAATGGTCCAAGTTGGACTTAAAAGAAGATAAAAAAAATATGTAAATACAATGGGGGTGACATTATAATAATTTTATAAAACCCTCTTTGAAAAAATAAAAGATTAAAAAAAAAAACATGGCTCTTAATAGGCATCTGAATCTTTGTTTCCACAAGCCAAAACATCTCCACTGTATTCCTTGTTCTAATGTGAGCTCTGTTGTAAGCTTCCTCTTTGTCATTACTAGGATTAAGCAAAGGTGTAAAGAGATATGCAGTACATGCATATCCACTGTCTCCAAGTAATCTTCTATGAATATCGCCACGTTCAGCGTTTCAGCGTTCTTTTATTGTGCTTTCGTTGAAAACCCGAGAGTCGTGAGCACTTCCTCTCCAACGTGCAACTATGTCTCTGATTTTCAAGTTTGAATCACAGACAACTTGCTTGATACAATAATAACCCTTTCTGTTCATATGTGCACTACTTTTGATAACACTATAGCTATCACCGAGGGGTCATATTTATCTGCGAGGTGTTAGTGGGCATGTTGATGAATAAATGAGCTTTATTAGCTAATGCTTTCCCAACATTATAGGCGATTTTGCTCACTGAGTCTGCTATCCTGTCATCTTGAATTGAAGTAAAATTGCAAATAATAGGTAAACGTACAGAATGATGGGTAAAGCTATTCTTGTCTACCGTCGCCACACGTAAGCATAGTTTAATTTTGTACAATCGAACTTACTTGAAGCTACCTATGCACACTTGCATGCTGGGTCTATTGTGTTACCACGAGAATTACTTGGTATATCGTCTTTCACAAGATCTAATATTTTTCTAGCAAAAAGTTTGCTGAACCTATATTTTTTCTTAAAATTGGTGTCGTCATATTTTTCAAACGGATTAACCCACACACGAACCGTATTACTTTCTCGGAACATTTCCGCATAGTTATCCAAGTCGTCTTCATCGAAGTAATCAACAAAATCAATTATATCCATGTTAAATAAAAATACTGAACTGACGGAAAAGATAGGTTAGATACTAGTTAAACAAGGGTTTACGGCTATTTAAATTTAAACAACGTCTAAGCTTTGCCTATCCATAAACCACCGTTAAACACTCTTTTGTAGTAACTCATTTCATAAACACGTGTTGAACAGATGTCTAACTTTTTTGTAGTAAGACGGTATAAGTCTATTGTAGATGACTCTGATGATTTAGTTAAGATATTAGACTTAAGTTTAATACGTGAGGATCTAGAATTTAATAGGAATCGATACGATAACCTAAATATACACGGGATACGCTATTTTTGTAAAAAAAATAATTAACTCTGAAATAAATAATTTAAAAATTCCAACAGATTATATTCAAAATATAACAATCGAAAAATTTAAGCAACTATAACCATCAAAAAGGGCTAAGCGCGATATTCTGAATCCTCTCGGGTCTCTTATTAAAATCGTGACAGGTAATTTGGACAATGATGATGCCATAAGGTACGATGCTTTGATAAATGATGTAAAAGTAAATCAGGATCAGCTGAATAGTAAAATGACAGTGGTCGCCGAAATGATGAAAACTCTTATTAATGTTACAAATAGTATAAAATTCAATTTCATACAGCTGGATAAAACTCTTTGGGAAATGAGAAAACAAATTAATATAACAAATAACTCTCAAACGGAACTTAAAATATCTAACGTATATAACCTATTTCTAAATAACTTTCAAACTATATATATCAAACTGGATGAAATTGAAACAGCGGTAGCTTTTAGTAAACTAGGAACATTGCACCAGTCTATTATTGACACCGATGAACTCTTGTCATTGTTAAAAACTATTGAACGAAAAAATAATCTTGTATGTCCTGTAAAAGTAGAAAACATTTTAAAATTAGAGCAAAGTATAGATTTAAAAGTATATTCAAAGGAAAATCAAATAACCTTTATTACAAAATTCTTCCTTTACCTACCCCTAATTCCATGAACCAAATATCCCTTATTGTACCTAAATACCCCTACCTTTTGATGAAAGGGTTGAAAGCGTGTCACTTCTTCATTTCACACAAGAAATTGATGACTCACTGTTCCTGTGTGAAGAGGATTATTCATCCATGTTAATTAAGGATAATTGTGTTACCAGCCTAATGAGTTTTGCAGCTAACACCATCTCATGCCGGCCCCTACTAGTAGTTTGATGATGTGAAGATAATGAAAATAGAAACCGATCGATGGATGTTCTATTCAAAAACTACAGTATTACTAACCAAACAATGTGGAAATGAAATATCACACTATAATTTAATTGGGAGATACATAATCTCAGCCGATGACAACTGCGAAACTAAAATTAAGGGATTCAGTCTGAAAAGGCATCATGAAAATATAGAGGAGTACCCGTTAACTCCCTTACCAATAATAAATCTTCCGGAAACATCACAGTTGTCAATGAAGACATCTTCAAATCCAGCAGCAATAAACCTGGATGACGTGGACCTGACGAATCTACAGCAGCTAAACAACATATTAACCAGTGATAGTGTAAAAAGTGAGCAAAGTGAAAGTGTCATAAATGTGAAAGACATAAGTTAATGTTATATGTAATTTTAGTTATAATAATTGTAATCCTTTGTAACAAATATTTGTATTGAAATTATCGGACCCGGAAAACTTCGCCCGGTAATTTCGAATCTGAGGGGGGAAGAGTTATACATCCCGGTATTCACGGAACTGCACCGGAGACCATAACAATTCAAGCGTAAGCGTGGGCGTAGATTGCTGAATTGCGTCTGGAAGACGGGTGGTCTTTCCTGTGAATACTGATAACTGTTCTTTAGCTTAAAAATCTAGAATAAGAATTAGGATAGTCTTAGTTTGGCTCGCACATGTAGCCTTAGGTTAGAATCCATCGCGGATTAATTAAGTAGTATATAAGTAATGTATCGCACATTAATAGTTTTTTTTTATAATTAGTTTTTTACAAAGTATTTTTAAAAACGTCCTGAGTCAATTTCGAATCTTGACTATGTTTTATGTGTTTCTATTCGTTACTAATACCAAAATATTAAAAAATAATAATAATATTTATCTGTATGACATTTCGAACAATATTTCAAAAATATTTTTGTGTGAATTTGAAATCAATACAACGTCATTTGAAATATGTAAGAAAACTATTTTTTAGTTACATTTTACACTAAAAATAAATGAGAATTGGAAAAATGACACATTTATGACCCAACCGCCAAAATGGGCGTTCTAGATTTCGAAGTACTTTTAGCACTTACTTTTTACTTTTTATGCCACAAATTATATACGAGGGGTGATCCAAAAGTAATGATAATGAAAATAAAACACGGTAATAAAAGTTAACCCTCTGTAGCATGTTTTAGACTGTAAGCAACATACCGTTTGACCTCCCATAAAATTAAAATGGTTCATTTTTTGTCGTCATATTGCACTGTAGTCCGTGGTCTAGGAACCGAAGTAGAGAAGTAGTACTACTAAATTTTACTAGATGGCGTTACGTGTCGCAAATCAAACTTCATTTGTCAATTCTTGATAATTTGAACAAGTGCGTGCGTGCTTCGATTTGAAAAATAGTAAATAATTCATTTTTGGAAGTGTATTGGTGTTATTTTGGAAACATGGATAGTTAAGTGTCTGAATTTTAATATCTAAAGTTACATTTACGAAAATATTGTCTTGTTTTGTTTATTTTTTCAAATTCTTGTTTATTGCTCGTAGGCAACATTGATCGAAAAGGAGAATTTATTATAAGTAGTTCTGTATTAGAGCAAAAGTGTTTATAGGAGTTTTTTATGTTCTAGGAGGGCTCGGAAGTAATCCCTTGCGGACGAGTACATTTCTGCAGCGCTGGAAGATGGTGCGGATAGTGAGGATGGGTTAGATTTTGACGATGACAGCCTTGCGGACCCTGATTTTCTACCCGAACTGGAAACATTCGAAGATGACAATGTGGCGTTGGACATTGACATGGATTCTCTTATCGAAACTTTAGAAGATGACCACGAAAACCCATCGAATAGCGCAGAAATTTCCCCATCAAACGTAAGTGTTCCTCAGCTTTCTCCAGCTCAAGACAACCAACAAATGAGCAAAGAACAATCCCAAGGGTAAGAAAAAGCCCGCCAAGTTGATATTACGCTGGAAGAAGAAAATCTTGAGTTGAATGCCGAGCAGCTCATGTTCAAGGGAAACAAGACCTTGGGTCCTGATCTTCTAGAACTTGATACTCCTATACAGTTCTTTTTATACCTGTTTCCTCAAGAACTCATACAAAAGATTGCAGAAGAGACAAACCTTTACCGAGTTCAAAAGGATCCCAATAGCACTTCACGTATAACAGAAATGGATGTCAGGCAATTCATAGGTGTGGTATATGTAATGTCTCTTATCTAGTTACCTTGAGTTACCAATCATTGGAGCCCAATACTAGGTACAATACTAATTCAAGAAACTATGCCATTGAATAAATTTGAGAAAATTTGTCAGACTTTACATTTCAATGACAACAGCAAGGACCTTCCCAGAAACAACCCTGAACATGACCGAATTTTCAAAATAAGACCGGTGGTGGACTCTTTGAATGAGGTCTACAGCAAAGTTCCATTGGAAGAGCACCTTTGCGTTGACGAACAAATGTGCTCCACTAAAGCACGAAATACGTTAACGAGATACAATTCCAACAAACCACACAAATGGGGTTACAAAATCTTCGTGTTGAGTGGCGTTTCTGGATTCGCCTATAAAACTGAAATTGAAACTGGTAAGGAGAATGTTGTCCTACAAGAAGAGCCTGATTTAGGTGCATCATCCAACGTCGTCACAAGACTAGCGCGCATTATTCCAAGACACCAGACTTTCCAGCTCTATTTTGATAATTATTTTACCTCTCTTCGTTTGTTGGAGTATTTGGCTAAAGAAGGTATCCACAGTCTTAGTACAGTAAGAAGAAATAGAATACCAGATTGTAAATTGTAACAAGAAAAGGAAATCGTGAAAAAAGAACGTGGTTATTCTGAAGAATACGTAGCTGACGTGAACGGAATTGATGTGTCGACTGTTGCTTGAAAGGACAACAAAATAGTCGTCCTTGCTTCAACTTTTGCGGGTCAAAAACCAGAAGCTGATGTTCGTAGATGGGACAAGCAAAAGTCAAAGTATGTGACTATAAAGCGACCCTATGTAGTTGGAGAGTACAATCGCCACATGGGTGGAGTCGACCTCATTGACAGCATCATGGGCATCTATAAGATACGGCTACGTAGTAAACGATGGCAGGTGCGCTTGTTCTACCATTATCTAGACCTCACGATGGCTAATGCATGGTTACTTTATAAAAGAAACTCAAAATACAAAAATCTTTCAGCATCAAGCATTTTATCATCAGCAGATTTTCGTCAGGAGGTTGCAGTGACCCTATGTAAAATGGGTACAAAGTCTGGTATGTCTGGCCGGCGTTCGCTGGAGACCGAGATTCAAGCCAAAAAGCGCAAAGGACCTGCACAATACGTACCGCCAATGGCAGTACGCCAAGACCAGATAGGCCACTGGCCGCAATGGTCTGAAAAAAAAAATGAGATGAAAGCTTTCAAAGTGCGTTGGATTTACGTATAACATGTGTGAGAAATATGGGGTAGCACTGTGTTATACCAAAACTAAGAATTGTTTTAGAAATTTTCACCTATCATATTTTTTTCTGAAAAAGGTTTCTAAAGTAATTCATAGTCGACGAACATACATTTTTAGTCTTATGGTTCAGTGTTGCTTTAAAGCAACACTCCCCTTTTTTTAATAACTTCTAAACTATTATAATAAATGAAAAATACTGAAACACGTGTATTTTTTTGTCGTTAAAAATCCAGATCCAAAAAATTTGAAAAATCCACGTTCTTGAGTGATAGAGGGTTAAAATAATAATTTATTTTTCTACATAGTCTCCTAACAAATCAATACATTTAGTCCATTTTTTTTTCTAAACCCAGGATTCCCTTTGAAAAAAATTCTTTGTCTTGACCCTCCCAAAACGCTTCCGCAGCGGCCATTACTTCGCTATCGTCTTCGAATTTCTTGCCTCGGAGGCGTTCCTTGAGCCGAGGAAAGAGGTAGAATTCAATAGGAGCTAGATCTAGCGAATAGCGAGGGTGTTCGAGCAGTTCGAATCCCATTTCTTGAATGGCAGCCATCGCAACTGCGGCTTTGTGAGCCGGTGCGTTGTCTTGGTGAAACAGCACTAAAGCTCGCCGTTTGCCGCGTCTTTTTTTATTAATTGCCTCCCGTAATCTTCTTATTTGGTCTGCGTAGTAAGAGCCCGTAATAGTGGCTCCCTTTTCCAAATATTCCACCATAATTATGCCTTGAGCGTCCCAAAAAACAAATGCCATAACCTTTCCCGCCGAACTTGAAACTTTGAATTTCTTTGGCGTCAGTTAGGAGGCTCGCTTCCAAGTCATCGATTGTTGTTTCGTTTCAGGGATTGGATTACAAGGAATATAAAAAAGTATAATACTTTCGTTTTTAGTCCAGACACAATTATAAAATTGTATAAAAAAGACGGAGCACCTTCATCAATGCGACACGTGGAACGCCGAAAGTTCAGAGTGATTTCTTTTTTTTTTTCGAAGAAACATTGCCAGGTTATGGTTTAAAATAAAAGAGCATATCTTTGTCTTTGATACTATTATCTATTGCATATTGTCTTTGGTTTTGTTTAAAACGAAAAAAATAATTTTTTCGTAGGGCAGTATTTGATATCGAATTCGAGCATTTCCATGAGCTAATTGAAATGTTCGAATTCATTGCATAGTGCGTCTCTTTCTGATTCAGCGAGATTTGTATCGTGTTTCTGCGATCAGTCTGGCCAAAATGGCGGCGAGTATAACACGTGATGTCCGCGTTCGCGTCAAAGCTACATATTTCGACGAAAATGATGGCCAGAACTCCTGGAGTCGCAAACATTTTGGTGATAACTACGATATAAGTTATTGTTGGGGTATTGTAAGAAAGGTAGAAAACAACTATGCTAGGGTATATTCAGAAATTGACAAAAAAAATTCATTGGTGCCCGTTGGAGTTCTGATTGCTGATATCGAAAATGATAATTTATTGGAAGCAAATACCAATGAAGAAAATTGTAAGTACCTACCAATTATTATTTTATTCATAGCCTTACGTTACAATGAAAAAATAGTAGGTCGGTCGCCTGTTCGTTACCATGATTTGCATGGGTTGACATTTTTTTTTGGATTTTAAATTTTTGGTTCACCATAAAATTTCCTCAAATGTACAGTCGAGAACTTAGTTTACTAAGTTTATACCTATAGTCTGACCTTGAAAGCGCCCATATCGCTCGTTATAGTGGCTGTTTTCAATGTATATGTAAGTGTTTTTTTTACGTGATTATGTAGGTGAGTTTGTATGTGTATATACATATATGAGTGTGGCTGTATTTGTATATATATGTGTGTGTAATTAAAAAATAATTTTAAATTCAAATGTGAGTGCACCGTGCATCCCTTTGCTTCTATTGCTAGGACTAATAGAGCTTTTTTTTTCAGCATCATCTGAATCGGGCTCTTCATCTTCGAGTGAAGATGACGAGACAACTGTTTCAGTACATACGACTCCGTGTATGAGCAGCGTAACAAATTCTGCTGCTGGAAATACAACCGTTGTGAAGGGAGTCACCTGGACTTTTCATGAAGCAATACGTGTGTACAGTTAAGGGTACAGAATAGGTCGGTCCTTAAAAAGCCAAGATTTACTGCATTCTAATTATTTATTTATCTTACTTCCGCACACGTACAAGTAAGTTCTATTAAGGGGATCACTGGCCTGACGTAGGGGCGAAGTCAAAGCGCTGTTCCCCCAAGGCCGTTGGTAGGAGGGTAGGCCAACACTCCGTTAGCTCGCGGCTCGGCAGCAGTAGCCCTTAGGTAGCAGGTAGATGCTTAGGTAGTAGGTAGATGCTAGGTGGTAGTAGATCCTGGAATTCCAGACGGAGGCCAGCATTAGGGAAACTTCCTATAGCACTATATGCGCCCTAGTCAATTCCAGCACCCCTTGTAGGAAGTTAAAATTCTTAAAGCTCAGCACTAAGCAGCCTCAGCAAAAGAGGTATTAATTAAGCAGAACAGTTATAATGTTTCAATAAATAAGAACTCACCCCAGCGGGATCAACGGTCGTTAGTAGAAGGGTCACGGGTAGAAATGAAAGAGGAATGGCCCGAACGGGGACTCGTCGTCGTGTCCGAAACCTACCGAGTCTTTTGTTTTAGAGATCGTTGAGCAAAACGGTTCACTGTGGATTAAATTAACTAGTTTATGGTTCCGTAGAATAACTATTTTAAATTAACAATATGTAATAATTCATTACTTTTTATTTTTAGATTAGAATATTATATTACTATTATTTATTTAAGATCAATCAATTATAAGTATTTGTAAGGGTGCATTCAGAAGCAACGTTTCAGTGTTGATCAGCGACAACAAATCTATTCCAAAGCTACCCTGCTAGTACCACTGGAGCCAGCACAAAGTGTCAAGGATGCATTTTTTATGGTATTTCCCAGAGAGAAACTTAGTTACATAGTCCAGTGTACCAACTCTTCGTTTCCCCCTAGACAGAAACTGTTGAACGAGAAGGAATTTTTTTTTGATATATTATATGCTATGACTCTTCAAGAACTGCCAGACTGAAGATCCTACTGGAATACGACCTCCGATGGAATATTTCCCCACGCAAATTTTGGACAAAGATTTGGAATAAGTCGTCAAAGGTTTGAGATCATTCTAGTGGCCCTGCGCTTCACACAACCGTCAGACCTTGATGATTCTGACAAATAGCGTGACACCAGAACACTAGTAATGATGGTGAATGATAAACTAAAAGATACCATCCGTCTTGGTGCAAAAATAACTGTAGATGAATCCATGTTCACCTGGTATGGAAGAGGTGCGTACTTCAAAGACGGGATGCCAGCAGTTATGAAAATTAAAAGAAAACCAAAAGGAATTAGTTGTGAAGTAAAACAGCGTGTGATAGTAATACAAAAAAAGAAATGGCAAAGAGAATTTGGCGCTAGAACTGCAACTACTTTGAGATTGACAGAGCCGTGGCGTGGTTCTGGAAGAGTTATAGTTGGAGACTCATGGTTTGCTTCAGTCAAAACAGCTGTGGAGTTATTCAAAGTTGGATTATATTTCATTGGACTGGTAAAGACAGCACACAGTTTCTATCCCGTGTCGGATATGGCTGCAAAGTGTCCGACGCACAAGGGGGGCATTTGTTATAAGTACAGCTGAAAAAGATTCAATGCAGCTTATTGCCTGTGCCTGGAAAGACAAAAAAACTCATACATTTTTTTTCCACCTGTGAAACGACACTGCCAGGCCTGTCATCACGCAAAAGAAGGTGGGACGATGAAGGAAATTTATTTTTCAGAGAAGTCGCTAGGCCTAAATTAAACCAGCAGTATTTTGATGGTGCTGCAGCTATCGATATTCACAACCACATCAGGCAAGATGGATTGGTGTTAGAGAAAGCATGGGGCACACATAAATGAGAACATAGAATTAATGCCTCAGTTCTGGGCATTATAGTAACAAACGCGTATTTGATTTTAATAATTTCGAACGCGCCGAACATGACCAGGTGTCGCACAGATGGTTTACTACCAACCTGGTATTAGCTCTGACTAAAAATGACGCTAATAACCTACAAGAGAATGAGCCGCCACCACATGAGAACATCCCTCAGAGCGGAGAACACATTCTTGAAGCCTTGTCAAAATCAGATGACAGAAAGAGAGTTCAACGCAAGTGTATAGTTTGTTCGAGAGTCTACAAGAAACAGCCGAAAGCGAGCTATTACACATCACGAATGGAATTCCTGCATAACTTTTTTTTAATAAAATTTTTTTTCACTAAGTTCCTTTCATATTCTTGTTTATTTTTCTACCCCGTAATATCAAGAAGTGCCCGCGTCTATTCCTAGATACCTATACTAAATTACAGAATGTTTGTCAACCCTGCCTAATTTTATTACGCATGAAAGTCAAGTACTGCTAGAAGGACAGCCTCTGATATCCATAAAAAATCCACAAAATATTGCGTACTGCTAGCAGGACGCACGTCCCTAGGATTGTCCTTCCGGAAGCTCCTTCCAGCAGGACTAGGGCTTGGACGTTCTATCATTTACTTCGATCAATGTATCGACTCCATCTTGCGATGCAATTCTCAAATTATTAGACATTAATTCTTGTAATTCACTTACAAAAAAATTAAAAAATGCGGATACATTTGATGGTTTACTTGTACCTTCATAAATACCCACCACAAAAGAGGGCACATTTGGCCTTTCATGGATGTTACATAATATAGACCACACTTGAAGCTTAGAGCTGTTGAACAATGGTAGTCCGTCAATATTCACATTAAGCGAAACGAATTTCGGTTTATCATTTAGGTTTTGTAAAATCGTCTTTAAAGATTCAATAAGACCATTATGCCAGTAATGACCATCATCAATAAGAATTGTTTGCACATCTTTTTTACGTTTGAAAAGCGTCCTTGGATCTAAAGGGAGTATACAGGGCATTTTTTTGTTTAGAATTACATTTAATTGCTTTAATGCAACTTATGGAATATTAAAATCAATAGCCCACTTTTTATAATGGTATCTGAAGTCATCATTTTTGATTGAAGTGTCTAGTTTATCAACATTATCTTCATTTTCGGACGATGAATAACTATCTTCAACTTCGGAAAATGAACAAGAGTTCTGAACTTCGGCAAATGCACTGCAGGGTATACTTGTAACATTTTGGTTAAATTGATTGGTTAAATTTGCATTTAAATGTAATACGGAACCCTTCTCATTTTCCTCACTCGCAGCTTGAGCTCTATTACTTTGTATTAAGGTCAGTGCTTGAAGCGAATGATAGTTATTTTTAACTTTTCTTTTAAATGCTCCACTTTTTTGAATACTTTTCCACTTTTGTTGATCCATGTTGTAACAAACAGTAAATAAATATGATAAATTTAATTACAAAATGGTGGATGTTGTATATAAGGTTATTATAAATCTTTAATATTAGTATTAGTTAAATAGCGGTCGTATAATCATGTTTGAGATACTCTAGGATGTATACAGGTAGCACTCGTAATACTTGTTCGACTTATATATGAGGCATATAGAATCAAAGGCAGCTAAGCGACAAACTTTCAAAAAAATAACTAACTTGTACATAATTTTGTTTTTACCATTTTCCTATCAAAGTATGTGTGTACATAAACTGTTAAATAAATAAATAAGTATGGAGCCATCTTGTGAATTTTTGGTTGTAACTCTTTATTTTATTATTGTAAGAAACAAATAAGCTAAAGCCCTTTAAATTTCGTTCAAAAATTGATTCACCGTTCAAAAGTCACCTTAGGTCGCAATCAAAGACAGCTAGGTGATAAAACAACCAATCACAACGCTTGAATTCTCGAAAACAAAATGGCGATGTCTATACAACCGCGTTAGCCACACCTAATATTTTTTATTGTATTTTTAGTGTTTTTAGTGAGTTCTCGTGAAAAATTTGTTGTGAAACGACTATTATGGAGGTCCCTGTAGAACCGGCAAGTACTGGCAGAGGTCGAAAATGCACAGGAAACCAAGAAAACTCTAAGATAGAGAAGTTTGAGTGTTAAAAATATTTATTATTGTTTTTATTTTATTTTATCTCCCAATAATGTATTATTATAATTTTTACTATGTATGCAAACCTACCTACAAGTACCAGTACCACACCTACTAAGTAAAATAATAGCTACAAACTAGTAGTATGTTTAATAACAGCCCTTTTTTCGTTAGGAGTTAAGTCCTTTACAGGTTCCTAGTACCTAACCAAATGTTTTTTTTTCACAGATACTCCTCAACTGCTTTACCTCAAAGAGTGAACTGTTCACATAAAAACCCAACGCTAAAATGTGCAAGCCTGACAATGAATGAACTTCTAAAATTTCACCAATCATTTTATGCCTCAAGAAAAAAAAAGCTGTCACGATGCTTTTCTTCTTAAGTGCTGTCAAATAAAACAAATTTAAAGAAGGCGTCCTAACCAAAAATAAAAGGCTTAGAAGAGATTTTAATATCCAGTAGAGGATTTTAAACAGTCAGAATAAATTTGTGATTGTCTGCCAAACATTTTTTTGAGTTCCTTGAAAATAAAAAAGTATGGAGTGGAATTTGTTATGAAAGCGTTTTACTATACGCGACAGATTGCTAAAGAAAACACGGGAGAAAATCATAAAATAAACAAGTATAAGGAGCAAAAAGATATAGCTCGGCAATTTATTATAAAGTTAAAATGCATAGAATCACATTACTGTCGATCTGCAACACAAGAGCGAAAATATCTGCACAGCGATTTGAGTACAATAAACAAACTTTATAAGATGTTCAAAACCGAAAATCTTCAGTCTGTTGTATTATAAGATGTTCAAAACCGAAAATCCTCAGTCTGCTGTAAAGAAGTCTTACTTTCGTGCAATATTCAACCAAGATTTCAATTTAGGATTCGGTAATCCGAGAACAGACGTTTGCTCGAAATGCATTAAATTGGATGGGAAAATTAAAATGGAAAACGACCAAGAAAAAAATAAAGACCTCATGATCGAAAAAAGAGTTCACAAGCTCAAGGCAAAAGCATTCTTTAAATTGCTTCAGGAAAAATCAGACGATATGATCACTTTCTCGTTCGACTGTCAAAAAAATAATCCCCTACCCAAAGTACCCGACCAAAGCGCATACTACAGTCGCCAAAATATATCTCTACAATTTTACGATTGTTCAGGGTTCTTCTAAAGATCACCTGAATAAAGACACAACTTATGCACATTTGTGGACAGAGAACGAATTTCCAAAAACATCCAACCAGATAGCCTCTGCAGTGTACGACCGTTTAAATAAAACTTATTTTGAAGGGATTAACACTGTTCATCTTGTAGCTGATGGATGTGGCGGGCAGAACAAGAATAGCATATTGCTATGTATGCTGTCAAGATGGCTTCTCGACAATACGTCTCTGAAAAAAATTGAAGTCGTTTTCCCCATTACTGGGCATTTTTTCCTGCCACCAGACCGAGTTTTCGGAAACATTGAAAAAGTTCTTAAAAAACAATAAGTATAATCATTCGACCTAAAGATTACATAGACATCATTGCAACAAATGTAAACATTACAAAAATGCGTGACATTCAAATGTTAGACTTCAGGAGTGCCGCAAAAAATGTCCTAAAACCGACTGCGAGATGGCCTTTTAAAATAAGTGAATGCAAAAGATTCATTTTGAAGAGATCCAAAACTGTTGGAAATGTGCTTATTCGTGGAGAACTGCATTTTAATTCAGATATAGGTAAAGCAGTAAATCTTTGCAAAACTGGAATGAAAACCAATATGATTCTTCCATCCACCGTGCCACTAGGAGCACCCATGAATCGTGCAAAAATAACTGATGTCGATGCACTATTAAAAAAGCATTTTGGCGCTGAATGGGAAACCAATGCAGAATGTCAGTTTTATGTAAATATTATAAGATCGCCAGTTATTCAAGAGGGAGATTCAGAAAGAGGGGAAGATGATAATGAAAACTATTGTGAATGTAGGGATGATACGGTGGATTTAAGAATTTAAATTTTGTTTTTTTTGAAAAAGAAGAAACAGCTGATTTAGTAATAAGAAAACATTTAAGTTCATAAGAACAGAATATTGTTTCTGAGAGTAAAGAAAAGTCTGATTAAAAAGAGAAAAAGTCATGTTTTTTTGTTACGATGTTGATTATTTGATTTAAGAATTTAATAGCCCCTCCAGACTCACGCCGAGAACCTCCGAGAATACCCGAAAAGCGTGAATGTGATCGATTTATCGCCGTCTCGTTCTCGCGCTCGTCTGTTCTCCGACCGGTGTCAGTTTTTTTGCCCGCTTCAAAGAGTTTTTTGGGCGAGAAAGAGATGGCTATTACATTCTCGTTTAGATCTCAGTGTAATATGAGAAGTCACGGTATTCCGACGTTGGGTGTTTTATTTATTTCTTGGTAAGAAAAGGTTATTTAACATGTGGGATAATGAAGCAGAACTTAAGTTCATCGAATATTTCCAAACAGAGCCCATTTTGTGGGACACAAAACACCGTTATTACAAAGACCGAAGTCTTAACAATGACGCTTGGAGTAGAATTGGAGAATTAATGGACAAACCGGTACCAGAACTCAAAAAGAAGAAGGAATCACTTTTTGCAAGTTACCGCAAATATAGAAAGATGGTTAAAGATTCATGCCGATCGGGTGCTGGGGAAGATGAAATATACAAACCAATATGGTTTGCCTATGATGCCCCGACTCATTTTTGGGAGATGCGCTCACTGTGAGGCCATCAATAAACACGACATCAATTAATGTAAGTAGCCTTTATTTCAATAAACTTTACAAAAATTCTCTAAATTATCTTATATTGAAAAAATAGTTTTTAAACTCTTCTCGTACTTCGTTAGCGCTAGCAGCAGCTCGGCGCGCAATGGGTGGCAAATTTCTAATAGCATTAGTGCTTGTAATTTCTCTACGCCATGCACCAGGGCGAATAATATTGTCGTCACTATCGTAAACATCAACAGTGCCTGGGGGAGAATATATTTGTGAAGAATTATTGCTGCGCATTAAATAATTATGTAATAATATACAAGTCATGGTAATAACAGAAGCTTTTTCAGAGCATTGCTCGATTGGCCTTTTAAATACTTGAAACCTTGAAGCCAATATTCCAAATGTATTCTCCACAATTACGCGTGATCCAGATAGTTTTTGATTAAATATTCGTTCAGGACTGTTCCTGTTGTGGTTTCTACGATAAGATTTCATGATGTTCATGTGTAGTGCAAATGCACCATCTCCCAAAAACACATATAGTATATCAATAGTAGAGCCTGGCAGTGGACGTGGTGCTGGTAAATTTAGAGTATTATTACAAATCCTATCCCATAGCACAGTATTGCGCAATATTCCACCATCACTTATTCTACCTTGACCACCTATATCAGCAAAAATAAATTTATATTTACTATCGACTAATGCCATAAGCACAATACTGAAAGTTTTCTTATAATTGAAGTATTCGGAGGCTGAATTAGGTGGACATGTCACAATAATATGTTTGCCATCTATTGCACCAATAGCTCTAGGAAATTTAAAACTAAATCCTTTTTCGATTTCCAACCATTATTCTGCAGACGATGGAATCTGAAAAAGAATTAATTATTTGGGTTACATGTACACCTATACATACTTATAAGATATTATTATTTTTTAGATTGAAGAACCAGACTCTACTACTACTGAAGTGGAAACCATCAATGAAAATAGAAACGATACAAAAACATCACAGACGAAGATGACCAGTAGATTACTTCAGGGCGAGTTGAAAGAAGCTGGAAAGCATGTGAAGGATGCTATAAGTATTTTTCAAGAAACCATCAAAAAAAGAGAATCGCAAACCTCCCAAGACGATTGTGACATATATGCAATGGGGTTAGCGAAGAAATTGCGAGCATTCTCTGAAGATGAAAGATTAGAAATTATGTATGAGATCGATGGTATGATTATTAATCGCCGCCGTGCGTTGCGTCCAAACAGATTTACAAATACTACAATCAATCCATCTTTTGAATATATAAGATCATCATCTGCACTGTCATCCTATTCTGAACCACTGCCACGCGGAGTTGCTTATAGACACAATACCCGCATAGCATATTCCGAACCACCACAAATTCATATACCAGAAGAACAACACACACGCCAAGTTTATTTGCAAAATGAGGATGCACAAGTTGGCTCAAACGTGCAGATACTTTCAAATGAGCTGTTGCAAGAAAGTCAGCTATCTGACGTTATTTCTCTAGCTTACAAAGATGCTTAATTTATATAAACTAATGAAGCTAATTTCCTTTAGATTATAAGTACAATTTTC